AAAAAAAAGCACCGAAATAAAGCACCGAAATGTGCGCTGCTTTTCGGTCTGGTTACTACCGTTTATGTCAGAACCGGTGCCATCATGGCACCGGACACCGGTACCCATCCCTAGAAATCAGTGTTTGCAACAAGCAGAAGAAGAAGAGCCGACCCTGTCAGCTGTGTTTAAGTGCATATTCTCTTCTCAGATTTGGGCTTTGGTGGGCGATCGTGGCTCAAGAGTTGCCAGTTCGTCTTGTAATCAGAAGGTAGCCGGTTCGATCCCCGGCTTGGACAGTCTCGGTCGTTGTGTCCTTGGGCAAGACACTTCACCCGTTGCCGGGTGGCGCCAGTGTCCGGCAGCCTCCGTCAGTGCGCCCCAGGGCAGCTGTGGCTACAATGTAGCTGCCATCAGCAGTGTGTGGATGACTGAATGTACTGTAAGGAGCTTTGGGGTCCATAGGGACTAAGTAAAGCGCTATACAAATACAGCCATTTACCATTTTAACTCATGCTGTAGATCCTACACATAATTTGTGCTCCATGCTGTGGAAATGCAGATGTGAGGTGTTCATCACAAGGAAGCACCCTTTGGTCCTCTCTAGAGCCAACAAGCTGAACATCCTATAGACGAACCAAGAGCAGTTTCTCTTCTTTTCTCTTCGTGATGCACTGATATTTCACACATGATAATAAACCCAGTGAACCCTTATGCAGCGTGCATGCAGGGGAAGAGGACAGAGTTGGCCACCTTCTCCATGGCCAGGTTCCTGTTGGAACCCAGGGGACCTCAGCATGTTGGGCACAAACTGAGCCTAGCACAGCAGTTAGTGCACACCTGGGGAAGAAGACATGTATGTTCATGACAGGTGTTTATTAAAATGTTAATCTTCACAGTTATGCTTCTGCATACACACATGGACGAGTGGATCAAAAAGACAAAAACGACATTTTACAGGAGGCAACAACCAGTTCTGGTTAAGTTACAGGCTGGACTGTACACGCCAGGTGTCCAGACTGGCACTGGAGGACTGGGGGGAGGGCAAAGTCCAACTCGAACTGGCTCGCTATGTCACTGTTGGGATCTGTGGTGCCTGAAAGGGTGGGTACGGGCTGAGAGGGAGGGCACTCACAGCCGGAGCAGATGTATTGTAAAGTAGAGCAACAATGGTGATCAATATGGCGGTTTACTGAGTCAGCGCCTTGTTAGCTTAGCTAGTGTGTGAGCATGCTAACATTTCCCCACACTCACACCAGTTAGTAAACGTTAACAACATCGCATAGAAACAGAGTTCAAGAGTAACTACTGGAGAAATACAAAGAGGGCATGACATTTTTATAAAGAGACCAACAAAGACAAATAAATTCTGTCAATGTGAACCAATTATAAGGTGATCACTTTTTTCATCATTTGGCAAAGAAAACCAGATCTCAAATCAAATCAAATCACTTTTATTGTCACATCACTAGTATTGGTCAAGTTACTTGAAAAAAGTAATCAGTAACTAATTACTGATTACTTCCCCCAAAAAGTAATCCCATTACTTTACTGATTACTTATTTTCAAAAGTAATTAATTACTT